CCCCCCCCCCTTTTCTCTTCCTCACTGACTCTGGGGAAAATCCGGCTGCTATGGCATGAGGACACACTGGGAGCCTATGGAGCACCCATGTGAAACCGAGACCTCTAGCCCACAGTCAGTGAGGACATGTGGTCTGTCAACAGCCATGCCTGTGAGTTGGGAAGAGGACCATCCAGCTCCAGTTAAGCCTTGAGATGCCTGCACCGCAGGAGAATGCAACCTTGTAAGAGATCCTGGCCACGACCACCCAGTTAGGTTGCCCCTGGATTCCTTAGAAACTGTGAAATAGTAAATATTTATTCTTTTAAGCTGTTAAGTTTGGGGGTAATTTGTTATCCAGAAATAGGTAACAGAATTTTCTCAGGTTTCCAGCTCAAGTGAGAAAATGAATCATGAAGTTATTAAACAGGAAAGGAAACTCAGGACCACAAGGAAGGTCACAGAAGGGTCAGGGAGAAGAGGAGTTCCTACCTGTGTAATTTGCATATAAAAGGCTTTACTCACCATATGGCAGAGGGCATTGTAAGGACACAGAGATGGTGACTTCCTAACCCCAAACAGCTCAGTGTCCAACAATGGGACTGAGTGTCTGAAATCAGACTGATCTAAGAAAATTTAAGAATGATAATTTTAAAAAGTAGTGTTTTTTTGTTGCAGGCAGATTTGAGTCTGGGTGCCACACTCAGATAGGGGGGTTGGGGTGGGAACTGTTCATCAGAGTGACAGCACAAAGAGCACCCCAAAAGTAGAGAGGAAGTAACTAGTCACTCCAATTAGAGGGGGAAAGACAGGACTTTGGGGAACATCATCAACTTGAATGATTTTTGCCAGCACTTTAATCATCTTTCCCAGTGATCCCCATGACCACCACACTAAGAGAAACAAGAAAAAGACACCAGCAAAACCCAAAGATACAGGCCGGAAGCCCCTGAGCCTGACAGTCTGGAAGGAGAGCCACGCCACAGAGGTTCAGAAGGTCAATGTGCGGAAGCTGGAAGGGGGACCAGAAATTCCGACCCAGCCAGAGGAAATACCTGACATCAGGTGGACAGGAACAACACGCACGCCCGGATTTCACATATTACAGATGGTTGGACAGTTTTTGGTATCCGTACTCAAATGAACAACATCCAAAATTAGTGTCTCCGTAAGCAGTTTACAAAACGATCAAGGATCTGATTCATTTTAAATAAAATCTCGAAATGTGTTTCTGAGCCAAAGAATACTGTTATTTACATGTGTCTGACTCAGGACTTACTTTTTAACCATGACACCAAATTCACTCACCGAAAACTGCTAGAAGCATAAAAATTGGGGGTTAAAATTCTTCAGGGGCTTTTCTCAGGTCTTGGGCACACAGCCAAAGATTACCAAACTCTATAACCACTATAATCACAATAGAAAATTCCTAGACAGTCAGTCACTTGCACACAGAGACACCTCATGTCAGTGACCCTTTAAATGAATCAAAGGAAATGAGTTTGAATTAAGCTGTTGAAGATTTTTAAAAAGAAAGATAAATATATTTTAACAGGAATGAGATCTTTAACCTCTGGATAAAGCTCTAATGGTGGAATGTTAGGCATCTGACAGCAAGTGGAGAACAGGTGAACATGGGGTCTTCATAGTCATGACAGTCATCCTCTCTACTTGGTGACTGAGGGTAAAGATGGCTCCCATCATGCACACATTAACTGAGAACTATATGGAGAGCTGGTTTCCTGCCCTCCATACCCCAAGAGGGGAAGGACATCTCTATGCACTTATAAACATGTTCTACAGTTATCTGGATGTGTGATCACAAATAAATGCAGCTGTGTTTATGCGGCGTGCACAGCCTTGCACCTCGGCCATGTTGCTAAAACACGCCAGTCGAAAATTCTCTGATGCTTACTTCCATACTGGATAATTCCTTCCAGCACGCAAAGGAAAACTCCCACACCCGGCTCAGCTCACATGCTGCATGGGAGAC